AGCCAAAAAGATCGATATCCCCAAGATTAGGTACCAAAATGTGCAACATTTTTAATTTGGTGCACGCGCATAAGCCAAGAGTTTTTTTTTTTCAGATATCTGGTAACATTTAAATTGATGACGTCACAAGTTGTACAAAGAGCACGACCACTCAGGACTTGTATATGCGCCGTTGGCAGTCAAAGGGTCAATACGGTGCATTTTCCCCCAATTTCATATTTTTTTAACTTCAATTTAGATCTATGTAGGAATCTAGAGCCGAAGGTATTAGATTTCTTCCATGATCGTTGATCGCCCTCTCTGTTCCCTTCTTTTATTTTACTCTTTCAAGTTGATTTCTCGCCAGCCATTCGTTTCTGTTCTTTGAGCTCCTATGACCAAGCGACTGTGAGGTACATTTTAGTTCCCAGGTTCTTCTCATCATCCCACATCCAAAACCAAATCCAAAACGGCGGCTGTAGCGGACTGGGTTACTCTCTAGTCCCCCACGAGTATCTGCAGCCACCGTGAGAGTACGTGGAATCTTTATGTTTATTCTTGCTGATCGGTGGTTTGTTCACCATCTTTGTTTTCTTCACCAGCAGGCTTCTTTTGAACAAGTTTCATCTTCATTTCAAGAATGGGGACTGGTAACGCAATCACCAGAGTACCCACCAAACAACACACGCTTCCCATCAGCTGACCAATCGCGGTCTCCGGAGACATGTCACCATAACTGTTATGAATAAAGAAAGGATCATTTTCAAGTTGAAAATGACCGTCGAACGGTCGAAACGTCGTTGTTTTTAAACTTAATTTGTAACAAAGGAAGAGAAATCTGATTGGTTAAGGAGAGAATTAAATCCGACTATAGTGCCAATTTCTATATATGGTCTTCACGGCGAAGAGTCGTATTATAGTTTCATATATGGTTAGCTAAGTTAAATAGTCACAATTCAAGATGGCGGCGCATTCAGTTTAATCGAACTGTACTGATGGCGGTGTATTCAAAAATCTGCTAGCGGCTGTATTGTGTCTT